TATCCCAGTTCTGTATGCATAAATAAATATTTAATAAACAAATAAATATAAATAAAAATAAACTATGTAAAAGCCATGCATAATCAATAAGAATAATATAATCAACCAAAGACTATAAAGTTTTCTAATCCTGTATACCCAAATTCCAAAAATCCAATATAAAAGAATGTTGTTAACTGAAGGTATATAGTACAGGAAATTCAAGAACTTTATGAATGCATACTACTTCACCTTAAACACAAAGGACCAGTGAATCCACTCTGCAATGACTGGAATGAATATATATAGAAGTCACCTCAAATACGTTTTTTGATTACCTGAACAAGGATTCTTGGTCTTTGAGGAGAAGGAAAAGGGATGTTTTGCATAAAATGTGAAATGTATCTAGAAAAAAAGTTGAAATAAAGATCATAATTACTTTTCTAAAATATTTCATACATTTTAACAACTCTAAAAATCATAATATATCATCCTAGATTGGAAAAAAAACCACTTACCTAAAGCTATGCTAAGTAAGTTTACTTAGTGTAAATAAATGTACTCATCTCACTAAACTTCTAAATGTAAAATGTATCTCTGTATTAAAAATCCACAGTAGGGGCCTCCTTGGTGGTACAGGAATTAAGTCTCATAGCTGTCAAGCTATCAACAGCCACTGCAACGAGTTCAATCCCCAGCCAGGGAGACCTAAAAGGAGCAACAGATCTTTAATTTCTCATCCATTGCTCCCTTCAGCAATGCATTCAAGTGGATTCCCTGTTCTGCTCCCCACTCTGTCTCTGTGAATCTTCTCATGCCCCACACCTATGGCTGCACCCCAGTACTCTTATGCAAAATAAATAAATCTTTAAAAAATCCATAATAATTAAAAAGATGCGGTACATATACACAATGGAATATTACTCAGCAACCAAAAAAAAATAGACACATGCCTTTTGCAGCAACATGGATGGAGCTGGAAAAGATCATGCTCAGTGTAATAAGCCAGAAAGAAAAGGAAAAATACCAGTTTCACTCATAGCAGGAGTATAATGGACCAGGCAAGAAAATAATAAAAATGATGAACAGCTATATACCAGAGACATTTTATGGGGGTGGAGTGGGGAACGGCATCAAAAACAGTGGAGGGAGGAAAATGCACTGGACTATGGTGATGGCACAGGGTGATTTGTGATGGGAAGCTCACAGGGATTACAACTGAGATGGGAAAATGCACAAAATGATGTAAAAATAAACTACTATATAAAAAAAAGAAAGAAAATTCATAGTAATAAGCCCTAAAAGCTCCAAGAAAGTAAGAGTAACATGAATATGGTTTTCATATAGGAAGCTAAGTTTTACTGCCCTGGTTTATCAATGCGAGGACACTTACCTGTAGTATAATGAACTAGCACTAATAGTCTGATCCTAACAATAAATTTAATATTAAACATTAATCTAATTCTTTCACTATAACTTTGGGAGAATAATTTAGCCTATTTCTCAACCAAAAATAATGTTGGAGTCTCCAAAGTTTTGAGCTCTTAGGAATCACTAAATCCAAGATAACATTTCAGAGAGAAAAAAAATCAAACACATATGCTGATTTTATTTTCACAAACTATCCACAGAACTCTAATTTTCTGAAAGGTTATTAACTTATCATTAATGTTACAATTTATTTCAATTTTAAGTTAATCTGATAGCTAAAAGTTAAATTAGAATATGAACCATTAGACTGGCATTGCAGAAAATGTGAAAGTTGATGTCATATTTCTATATCAAATTGCGGCATACACAGAACTTTATTATTTTTTGAAGCTGAATTTTGAACACAATTTTGAACACATAATTATCCCAACTTATCCACTAATAGCTTTCATTGATAATCTTTTTGCTATAATATTAAATTTTCTAAATGGTAAGAAAAATCATGTGTACACATTGTAATCTTCCCACAAAACCCTTCAAACCTCTTCCTTTGTTAGAGTACATAATTTACTATAATAATAGAAGTCAATGGGACATAAGAAGTCAGAAAGATATATTTTTAAAAGATAGAGAGGTTCCACATATATTTTCCTTATTTAAAAAATTCACATGACAAATCAAAGGAAAAATACATAGAATTCTGTCATTGCTAAAACCAAAACCTTACTTTATCAATTAATTCACTTTTACTAATACATACATCAGTCTGAAGATAGTTTATAGTTAGGAGTTGGAGTGACCATCTTATAGTTGGCATGTATGTGTAGTAACAGTTATTTATCTCATGTTAATTAGAAAATGAACAGAAGGAACACACAAAAACAGTGTGTATACATTCCTTCCTCATCTGAATTCTCAAAAGTTTATTATTTAGTCATCTTCATCACCACTCCTCAACTTTAAATTCAGAGTCAAGGAGTCAGGTGAAGAATGGGACAATTAAAAAGTACAGAACCTCTGACTCTCCTTCCTTTTCCAACTGTGCTGCTTAAAGTCGAGTATAAAAATATAAGTCTTATATCCATTAAACATCTTTCTAGTCCTTATACATACTTTTCAATAGGAAGAGGATGCGGTCCAGACACAGAGAGTTTGTAGATAAACATGAGAAACTTTCTAAAAGCTTCAAAAAAAGGCCAGTGTGATAGTAAACAAATGCATTTGTTTGAATTGATGGATTTGGAGATCACTTTTCTCTCCACAGGTGTCAACAGGCCCAACTGCATAAGCTGTTTCTCTGTTAGAAGTTCCCGTGAATAAGGTTCATAAAATTGAATGGCAGCTCCATATACCTAGAGTAATAGAATTTCATTGTAAGATTTGCTTTTAAAAATAAATTTATTTTCCCCTTATTCAACAAGAAATATTTGCTTAGAATACATATGAAAGTTACATGAAAATTAAAACCTCAAACATTCCTACATCACATTACACATGTAGTTACTGGGGGAAAACAGCTTGACAAGTTCTCCAAAGTTAAACAAAGAATTACCATATGGTCTAGTTAGTCCACTCTTAAGTATATATCCAGAATGGGAAGCATGGACTCCAATGATAATACCCAAAATGAGGAAATAATACTCTCACTATCTTTAATAGTGATGGTAAACTTGTAGCCTGTAGAACAAACTCACAGATGTATTCTGTTTGATGCTTAAGTGTCAGTTTTGTTTACTTATACTTCTCATTATCAATTTTCCTAAAAAAACTGTTCAATTTTTAAATTTCTACTGTATCTGAAGTTTTATCTGCCTTTTATTTTCTGTTTATTTTTGTTATCCCTTTAAAACTGTCATTCTTAGTCATTATTATTGTTTTTATACATGTTTATCATTCTGGACTATTACAAATAAAGCCTACACATGTCTTCGGGAAGATATACACAATCATTTCTTTTGGGATATGCTCAAGAAACAAGCACAGAAGAAACAAGTACAGGCTTTTTTCTTTTTCTTGCTGATAATTAAAAAGCAATTTATATGTTCTGCTTAAAAGCCATTTGTTGAATATTTATTTTGCTTTATTTCTTCCAACCTATAACCTGGGAGAATTTGCCATATCAGATTTTCACATCAATTTCCATTTCCATATCAGATGTAGCTCTGGATTTTTAGATTTGGGTTTTTTTCTGTATATGGTTCAGCAGACATTTTTAATCTTAACACTCAGTGTTTTTTTTTCATCAACCCTGAAAAATTCTGAACCATTCACTAGCTCCGAAAATACTGTCCCTTTTTCTAGTTTCACCCTCTAGAATTCATTAAATATCTGTTGGACCTTATGATTCTGCCCTCTTCATAAATTCCTTTTAGGATTTGTATTTTTCTGTGCCACGTTTAAGGAAATCTATGTACTACTTTCCTTTCTCCACATATACCTTTTCTGCTATTTAAACCATTAATGAATTTTTAATTTTAAGAACATTTTTCATTTCTAGACAACTGAATCTTTTTCAATTATATTTTTAATTATATTTTCAATTTAAAAATCTCTTCCATATTGTCATTCTATCACTTTAACATCTTGACATCCCAGCCTGGTTAATCATTGTGGCTTGTTGATTCTCCCTACCAGACTTCTATCTTCTAACTGCTACTGTAACCTCGTTTTAAAGCCTGGTTTTGGAAGCTACCTCTCCAGAGCAAGATTTGCATCTATAGCTGCTCCAGGAGTATCAACAGCCTGAGGTCAATGTCAATTTCCAATGTACCTTGGAAATTGTAGTATAAATTTAAACCAAACTGTTCTGTGTCAAATACATTTAGATGATACTATTTTATGGAGGAAAACAAGTATGATAGGCTTAATAAAGAGACAAATATATACCTTTTCAGCAGAAGAACCTGTCAAGACAAAAGTTGAAAAAACTGGAAGCGGATATTTGGTTTGGGAATCCCAACATTCAATAGTCGCTCCCATAGGAAGGCAGAAAAGAGGTACAGATTCTGAGAGTGGAAATGATTCATAATCATCTTCTGGATATCTAAAAATTAAACCTTTGGGAAAAGGAGACAATTTTCTGAAAATAGTTATTTGTTCATGAGTTACATGTGATACATACTAATAGTTATATTTTAGTAGTAAATTTCATGGAAAATATTTATGTATAAAGCTTCAAAATCAATTTTTCTCTTGTCATATCAGTAATTAAAGTAAGTTTACCCTTTATTTTTCACCCATGGGTTTACAGTTCATTCTAGTATTAAAAAAATTACTAAATATGCAAATTAAAATTATTCGACATGATCACCAATTTTAATATATATTATATATACAACCAATATCTTTATGTTGAAACATAAAGGAAAAGTTAGTGTTCTACAAAAAATTCAAGGCAAGAGAAATTGTCACAGCCCCTAAGCTCATCTTGAAAGAAGCAGTGTAAAAGGCATGCAGTATAAATAGTGAACAAGACAGAAACCTTCGTGACCAGTCAAGAGTATGTGAGACCAAGAAAATAGGAGCAAGGGCACTCTGAAGAGCACACCAAACCCCTGTAGAATAAAGTAACCAGCTACATGGCATCTGTTCATTAATCTCTGATGTTTCTCATATATAGACCACCTCTAAGTTAAATACCTGAAAATAAGTAGGAGAAAATTTTGAATCTAAACTCAGTCTCCAAAATTCTTATACTTTTAAACACATGCCTCATAGTAAATACCTGAATACTTTCACAGAGCTTGCTCATGTAAGTTTTTTTTATAAGTTAATACTTTCTACTTTCTCCCACAAAAAAATTTACACCACATATAATCAATGCATTAAAATACTGTACAAGGCAATATTAAGAGTATCGCATTTTAATGACGCTGAAATTCGTTAGTTGCAACCTTTATTTTTATATTATAAATTAAAGGATTTATTAGTATGCATGTATTAATGAGAATAAGATTTTTCAGATATGAACTTGCCTGACTTTTCTGAAGTAAAACTTTATCCCAAAAACTGTGCATGATCAAAAAAGTAATTGACACTATTTCTTTTCACAAAGAAGTATTCCAGTATTCCTTCTATTTACAACTGGAGCATACCTGTATTTCACTTTTTATCCCACCATACCAGTGGGATGAAGAGGTTAAATCTTTACAGCCCTTGACACTTTACTGTGCAGTAAGAATGTGGCGATAGATTTCTCAAATACTTCATGGCAGAAAAGTTTCTCAGGCCCTCCTCTCCTCCACATAGCTGATTCTTTGCAACAAGGGAGAAAGGAAGCAAGTCCATGGCAAGTAACATGTGGTTTCAAATCAGACACACAGAAATAAGAAAAGGAAATATAAGAAGTAAAGATGCAGTTTGACACCTTTCTGATTGCCAAAATATAAAAGGTCAGAGAGTAAGCAGTTTTCCACTGAATTGTTATATTAGTGTAGAATATAGGCTTGAATGTTTATTCTACATATGCTTGCTTGGGATGGATGCTTACATTTAATGAACAACATGTTTGCATGTTGGGGGAGGCAATGATATTAATACACCTTGTATGTAATGTATTTAAGAAAACTTAACGCTGCCCTTAAAATTCAAAATCATAGACAATTCAATCTATTAATAGACCAATTCCACAAATTATGTATGGAAGCATACATTATCTCTCCTAAGCAAATGTTAATATATACCAATAACTAAAGCAATGGAGCCAGATTTTATTAACTTACCAGCTTTATATGCTATTGCATTAGAAGCAGGCACAGATTTCTTGTAACACAGAAACACACTGGAACCCCACTGTAAAACACAAATTAGGTTTTTTTAAAAAGTAGTGAAAAAAAACTTATTTTTTAAAATGTACTCTAAAAAAAAATTTATTCATGGGAGTCTATTAAAAATTTTTTTATTGTGTAGTATAAAATATAGCCAAACATGAAGTTGAGATCAATAAGAGAAAATGTGTAAAAAAATACTTTCATAAAAATTAAACTTATATAAAGTTAGTTCCAAAAAGTTTCAAATTCTATAATCAACCTCCTCTCTTTGAAAAAGAAGGCACAAAGTAGAGTGGGCACTGGAGCTCAAGCTAAGGGAAACTACAATCACTATAGTGCTCTAATGTCATCGTCTCCACAGGCAAGCCTACCTTGACCAATAGCCAGGGCCTTATTTATTAGTCATCTTTGCCTATACCACATCTAAGCTTAGTTTGATCTAAAGGTATTTCTCAAAATAAATCTGATCTAGTAGCAAACTTAAGTCTCAGGAAACTATAAATCAAATATTTATCTTCAATTTCCTTTTTCATTAGAGCCCCTTTAAAAATAAATATGTAAAGCCACAATATTTTAAATAAATAAATGTAAGGGAAGTTCACACACCCAGTCTCCCTGCAGGAGACATCCTTAAAGACATCACTGAAATTCAAAACCTCTACAGTAGTGTAATATAGGCAATATTAGCACATATACCCTCCCCCAAAAAACTCTGACTTTAAGTATCAATTTTCTAGTTGAAATTATTCCAAATTATTAAAGATTTTTGTAATTATTATAAGCCATAAAAATTAGAGAGATAGGGCCCTCCCTGGTGGCACAACAGGTTAAAGAGCAGCACTCTGAAGCTATCTGCAACATAGCTAAACTAAAGCATGAGTTCAATTCCCTGGCAGGTGACCACCCACATGGCCTGGCAGACCTCTCCTGACTTGCCCACTGCTCCTCTCAGCAGTGTATTTCAGTCAATCTGCCTGTTTTGCTCCCCACTCTGCCTCTGGTGAATCCTTTCACTCCCCACATCTCTTGTATGCATGAATAAATCTTTTTTTAAAAAATTAGAGAGCTACAATAATAAAAAAAGAACCACACATGTATAAACAGAGTAGATAATAAACAGGAGTCCAAGAATTAGCCTCTTTGTGTGTGTGGGGGGGGGTTTAATATGAAACAACTTTAAACTTACCATTCCACAATTTAAGTTTTTGTCAACTTTGCAGAAAGTATGAGGAGGGGTTTCTCCTTTACTGGTTACAATAACACAGATATCAGTTACAGCCAAGGAATTCTGAGGTCGAATTAGAGGAGCCCTTCGGTAAGTGATGAAGATTCTTTGTGAACCCGTTGAACTATTGTTGACATTGGCACAGCGACCATAGGGTGTGGCTTGGATCACTTCACATCCTGGAATAAGCCTCTCTTTTCCTTCATATAAAACTCTGCATTGCAAGGAGGGGACAAATACATAGATAAGTAAATACATTTCAGTTTAACACTTATTTTCTTGAAACAAAACAAAAACTTTTGGTCTCCCCAATTTTTCCCCAAATTTTAATTGAAAGCCCAATTAAAATTATTACTTTGGAAAGTATAACTCTCTTAACTACTACATTTTGATGGCTAGAATATAGCTTTAAGAGATATAAATAGGATCAGACATTTTTTATTGCTTATTGGAATAAATATATGAAATAAGAGGCAAAACACAAACATTTTTAGATCACTCCCTAAACATTCAGATGCTTTCACAAATTTTTCCTTCATATACATATCAAAATTTTACCTTTAAAAATCCTTTGACTAAAATGACCAAACATTTAAAGAATGTTTAAATGTTTAAAGAAATTTGACCTGAGCTAGTAAAAAGATATGGTATTGGTCATGGTATTGGTTAAGAAGACTTAATATTGATGTCAATATTGCCCAATGAGAGCTATAGAATCAATAAAATTCTTTTCTAAATCCTGCTGCTTCTTTTTGCAGGAACAGGCAACATGATCTTAAAGTTCATATGGAAATGCAAGGTATCTACTATAATAAAAGCAATATGGGCAAACAAGAACAAAGTTGGGAAACACATACTTTTCCAATTTTGAGACTAATATATCTACAGCCATCAGCACAGCATGATGCTGGCATATGAAAAAATGTATAAATCTCTGAAATAGAATACAGAATGCAGAATTAAACACATTTACAGATCATTGATTTTCACACATGTATCAACACAATTCAGTGGCAGTAGTCTTTTCTGGGCCTCTGTGGTGGCTGGGGGTGGGGGGGTGCTCTAAGTCTCAGTGCCACCACTGCTAAAGCCCACTGCAATGGTCAAAGTTCAAACCCAAGCCAGGGATCTGACCCTCATGGCTCAGCAGACCTCTCCTGTCTCCCCTGCCACTCCCCTCAGCACTGTGTTTCAGTAATCTGCCTGTTTTGCTTCTCACTCTGTCTCTGGTGAATCTTCTCACCAACTTTCCTCCCTCCCCCACACCTCTGGCCTGTACTCCAGCTGTCTACATTAAAAAAAAAAAAAAAGAGTAACTCCTCTCACCTTAAAAAAAAGGATAGACTTATAGCCTTTCAACAAATGGTGATGGGGTAACAGGATACCTAAATGCAGAACAAGGTTGGACCCCTTCTTACACTACACACCAAAAATTTCAAATGGATCAAACACTTAAATGTAAGAACTAATACTATAAAACTTTTGGGAAAAGCATAGAAATAAATCTTTGTGACTTTGAGCTAAACAACACCTTCTTAGATCTGACACCAAAAGTGTAAGAGACAAAAGAAGAGACAGACTGGACTTCAAAATGTAGTACTTCTGTGCTAGAATTTATACCATCAAGAAAGTGAAAAGATAATCCACAGTGTGAGAAAATATTTGCAAACATGTATATCTTTAGAGAATTCTTTTCAGAACAAGTAAAAAGCTCTTATAACACAATATAAAAAGATAAATAGCACAATTTAAAAGTTTACACAGGACTGAGAAAGGACATATGGGAATTCTCTGTATCATCCTTATAGCAACTAAAATTGTTTTAAAATAAAGCACTTAAAGTGAGTAAAGAATCTAAATTGACAACTGTCCAAAGGAGATATGCAAATGACCAAAAGCACAAGAAAAGATGCCTAACATATTAACAGGGAATTTCAAATTAAAACCACAATGAGATACCACTTTCACATTCACTGGGATGGTTTAATCAAATAGACAGATAATAACAGGTGTACTAGAATCCTTATACATTGCTGATGGAAAATAAAATTGGTTTAGTGTGACAGTTCTTTACACTGTTACAGTTTGCCTGTGACCCAGCAATTCTACTCCTAGATATATCCCCAACAGAAATAAAAGCATAGATCTATACCAACAATGATACACAAATGAAAAGCTCATAATATCAAATAAATGGAAACAATTCAATCAACTAATGAAAGGATACACAGACTATGGAATAGCCAATTACAGAATATTTTCAGCAATAAAAATGAATGAAATTTTGACATATGTTACAACTTGGATGAATCTTGCAAATATGTTGAGTGAAAGAAACCAGATAAAAAAGACATGAAAGTCCAGAACTTATCTATAAGTTTATCTATAGATAGGAAGTAAATTAGTGGTTATACAGAGCTAGAAAGTGGGAAGGGGGTATTGAAGAGTAGCAGTTACAAAAAGCTTCATAGTGCTGTGCTTGAACCTGCTGCACCACCAGGCAGGACCCAATAGTTTCTTTCTTAAGTGTGGGAAACTCAAAATTTTTTCTATATAAATTAATGTTAATAGTGTCCCTGACCCAAAATAGTAATAGTCAAGTCATACCAAATAGGACTGTTCTACTTTTTCCAACCACAGGGGGAATTTGTATTCAAATGTACTATAACATCCCTATATTTAAGTCAGGACAAGATTGATGAGTAAACAGAAATAATAAATACAAAAGAATTCTACTATATGATAAAGGTAATAGCTCAGTGTACCGAGAAAAAAATGAACTTTTAAATTTAATAAGCAGTGCTTACATAACTTAATTTCCATTTGGAAAAAATATTTCTATTTATATTTCAGGAGAAGTAAACAATGAAATAATACTAGTATTCTAAAATAAAACCAAGGATGAGATAAGTTCAACTAAGAACCAAAATTCAGAGACAATAGAGGAGAGACTAGTAAACCACATATGGTAAACCTTACATGACAAAAAACACCATAAGCTAAGTCAAAAGACAGAAAAACCTGGAGAAAACTTTGGGTAGGACTTATTTCATAAAAAGTTCATCTTCCTGGGACTACATCAAGTTAAAGAGCTTCTGTACAGCAAAAGAGACATTACAAAAACAGACAGCCCACTAATTGGGAAAACATTTTCTCACACAAAAGTAGTGATAAAGGACTGATCACAAAAATATACGGAGAACTGATGAACTCAATAAAAATAAACAACCCCATCAAAAAATGGGCAGAAGAGCTAAAAAGACACTTCTCCAAAGAGGAAATGCAGATGGCCAACAAGCATATGAAAAAATGTTCAACATCTCTTGTAATAAGGGAGATGCAAATTAAAACCACAATGAGATACCACCTCACCCCAGTGAGAATGGCACATCTTCAAACAACTAGCAACAACAAATGTTGGAGAGGATGTGGAGAAAAAGGAACTCTCCTGCACTGCTGATAGGAATGCAAACTAGTACAACCACTATGGAAAACTGTTTGGAGGCTCCTCAAACTGCTAAACATGGAACTTCCATATGACCCAGCAATCCCACTCCTAGGTATCTACCCAAAAGGCACAAAAACACTGATTGAAAAAGATACCTGCACTTCCATGTTTATTGCTGCTTTATTTACAATTGGAAAAACATGGAAGCAGCCCAAATGCCCAAAAGTAGATGACTGGATAAAAAAGATGAGGTACATATATACAACGGAATATTACTCAGCAACCAAAAAAGAGAAACACATGTCTTTTGCAGCAACTTGGATGGAACTGGAAAAGATCATGCTTAGTGAGATAAGCCAGAAAGAGAAAGAAAAATACCTGATGCTTTCACTCATAGCAGGAGTATAATGGATCAGGTGGAAAATAACAAAAATAATGAACAACCATATACCAGAGACATTTTGCGGGGGTGGAGTGGGGAATGGGATCAAAATGGGGGGTGGGGAGGGAAGTACATGGGATTATGGTGATGGCACACGGGTGACTTGGTGATGGGAAACCCGTGGGGATTACAATTGAGATGGAAAAAAAAATGTACAAAATGATGCAAAAATAAACTGTTATTAATTAATTAATTAATTTTTAAAAAGTTCATCTTCCTAGTTTATGAGACTGAAGGGAAAAAAAGAATTCATATATATTGAAGGTAGTTACATAAAATGCCGTCACCACAGTGGAAGAAAATATTTAACAAAACAAAAATGAACATTTAACAATATTAAGCATGTATTTATCCTTTAATCCAGCAAGTCCCTTCTAGGAGCTACCTAAAAATATACTTCATACAGAAACAATATACACAGAACAAAGTAATTTACCAAAGGATTCTTATAATAGAACAAGACTGAAAAGAACCCAAATGTCTATCAATAGAAATTTGATTGAATAAAGTATAGTGCATCCATACAAATAACTACTACACAGGTATTAAAAAAAAGGATGAGAAAGATCTCCATGTTTAGACAGGATAAAAGAGTGTATACACTATCTACATTTTGTTTAAGAAGAAGAAATACAAACACATAGATATGTGTTTATTTTATAAAAACAGACAGTGAAAGAATAAATGAGAAACTGAATGGAAGAAAATAAAGAACCTGTATGTCCATCTATAAGTCTTTATCTTAACAAACATAAAAAAAATAACACTCTTGTTTAAACATTACTTATAGAATACTGGTATTAAATTCTATGGGTGTATCAGATTTTACATATTTCAATTTAATATCCTTTCCAGAAAAAAAAAACCCTATTGTTAATACAAAGTTAAGTTTCATAATATTTCATATTAAGTTAAATGAGATGGGTGCCTGTCTTTACAGTGACTAACAGACTTTCTAAATTGTACTAAATTGGGGGGAAAGTTGCGTGCACAGGGTAAAACATTTAAGTCACTAGATATTGACAATGATTTGATGTGAAGAGGAACATTAACCATGATGACTAGCTTAAAGACAAACATATACTTAAACAAACCTGGATCAGTAAATTATTATTATAGAAGCAACAAAGAACCACAAGATGTATAGTCATGTGTTGCTTTATCACTGGGATATGTTCTGAGAAGCAAATCCTTAGGTAATTATGTTGTTGAGAAATAGCAGAGAAGGCAGTTACACAAACCTACATAGTAAACCAGTACACACCAAGCTTATATGGTAGAGCCTGTTGGGATCATCACAGATGTTATACAGTCCATTACTGATCAAAAACATTGTGAAGTGAGACATGACTATGTGAAAAAGCAAACTGCAATTTAAAAGCATCTAAGTATAATGACAAAAATCACCATTATGTTTTTAATTTTGCACTCATAATCTGAAGAGAGTCACATACTTTCAATTATGAATTTATGGTGAGGATTTTAGAAGGATGTGAAAAGACAGTCTCAAATCAATAACAGAGGCCTGTAGGACTGGAACACAAGATAAGTACCTGGCTGGTTTACCTTTCCATCACATGGATACTACCAAAATTTTATCCTACACCCATCCTTCTATGCATATTACTTATCTTAAGAAAAAAAGAGCTGACAGTAAAGTCACTACATGTCCTGATTCACTCTACTGTATCCAATAATTTGTGTTCAAACCCTTTTTAACTTCTTTTACCCTCTAAAGGATAATTCAGTCACTCATGTTGTTGACATTACCCCTTCAATCTTTTTCATAATTTTGAGACTCCACTCACAACATGGCAGAATAGAGAGGTTGGGATCACCCTCTCCCCTAAAAACAACTATTTAAAAAATTGGATCCAGATGCTCTGCTCCATCTGTAGATTCCAGGGTTTTCCCATGGTGACCATCCAGGGGAAGGAATAGCAGGAAAAAGCAAATCACAAAGGAAGGAGTAAAAAGTTTCTATTTGCAGATGACAGTATTCTAGACTTTAAAATCTCAAAAAGAGAAAAAAGGAAAGGCAGAAAACATCAACAAACACTTATAGCTAATTAGCAAATTGAGTAAAGTAGGATTAACAGATAAAGTTAAAATTCAGCTGCATATACCAAACAAGGAACAATCCAAAAAGGAAATTAAGAATACAATTCATTTATAACAGAATCCAAAATAATCCAATAAAATGCACAGGGCTAAAATGAATCAATGAGGAGAGAGACTGTACATTAAAAACCACAAGACACCACTGACCTAAATAAATGGGAAAACATTTAAATGTTCTTAAGTTGGAAGACAATTTGTAAAGATGGCTACACTTTCCAAATTGACCTATAAATTAAATGTAGTTCTCATCAAAATTCCAAATGCACTGACCCCATAAAGAGCTAGCTGGCTCTGATATACTTCCTAAGATGCTCTCAAATACCAGTAAAATGTTTTTCTGAATTAATGGTAATTATTGCAAACTGTTTAGTCTATGATATATAGAGATGGCAAAGTATAACAAGTCTTCTAAACGCATGTGCTACACAAAAGAGTGAACACAGACATTTTTGGAAAAAAGCGTTTGCAAAAAGCAAAGTACTCTTCATTGGTTGTGGACTTTATATTAAATATAAATACATCATAACTACACTCCTAAACTGTAAATACTATTCTCCTGTCTATCATAAAAAATCATACAGCACAACTTTTTTTTTTTTAATAATGCTGGGCCTCCCTGGTGGTGCAAAGGGTTAAAGCACAGCACTATGAACCTATCGGTAAGCACTGCAGCACCAGTTCCACCCCTGGCCAGGGAGCTAAACCACACGCACAGACCTCTGGCCCCACTGCTACCCTCAACAGTGTATTTCAGTCAGTCAGCTTGTTCTGCTTTGCACTCTGTCTGGTTAATCCTCTCACCATCCCCTCCCCACCTCTGGCTGACACCCTAGTTCTTAGAAAGATGCATAAATAAATCTTTAAAGAATATATAATGAGGGCCCTCCCTGGTGGCGCAGCAGGTTAAAGCACAGCAC